TGGCGACCACGGCAAGGGAAAGCCTCAGGGCACGGGAGTGTAAATGAAGCCAATTAGTTGGTCGGTGGGAGTAAGAATAGAATCATATCACACCCCGGAGACTCTGGTACCGTAGTCAATGCAAAAGTACTGCACCTTAGCAATACCATGCAATGAAAGAGTACGAGTAGACATTGGACTGTGAGGTAAGTAAAGTCAGTCAAGTCTAACTCAACTCGACCCAACAGCACCCTTACTCGAGTACTCGTACTGCCGTATTACCCATTAATCTTTTACCACCCGGACCTAAGCCTAATAAACCCCGCCCCGCCCGCTCGTCCAACCAACCAGCTTAGCTTAACTGCGGCAACTAATCCACATTAATACAGTAAAAGTAAACTTACCAATCCCAATTCCCAATTGCCCCCCCCTCCATAGCTCAGCATCAATTGCCCTCGAGACAACCTTCCTAGTAGATAGAACCCACCAGAAAGATGTGGAGAGAGGGAAAAACAACCCCCCAACCCTCCAACCAAACAAGAAAAAAACGAGTGAGACTTCCCTCCTTCCTCTCCGAGCCCTGGAGTGTCCTAGGAGATAGGAAATACTGACCCCCCGCCCCGCCCTACCATACCACATCCCCAACTTATCGCCGGGTACCACTCTTTCTCCAATTCAATCCCAGATCAGCTATCCAACCAACCAATCATCCATCCATGCGCCAATTTTTTTCCCTTCACTTCCTTCCCCATACTCCTCTGCACTCCTTGTAGTTCTCAGTAAACTTGGTACGACCGCACTGGTAGGCACGGATAATCGTATCGTAGCGTATCGTAAGCGTTGCCGACGGTGGTACTGTGCTTGTATTATCATATCCACCCATCTACCCACAGCACAATATGGTGCTTCCGATCAAAGTTTAAAATATAAGTAAATAAATATAAATAAATAAATAAATAAATAAATAAATAAATAGGCACCATACAAAGTTTTAGTGAGGGGGGAGAGGGAGGCAGAGAGAGAGCAAGGGACCGAGGTTGGTTTCTTTCTCTCCCCCCTGGCAATCGGTGTTCGACTTATCGGAATCGTGAAGGGGAGGGGGGGGGGGCGGATGAATAGGGGAAAAAAAAAAAAAAAAGCGCAAGATGTGGCGATAAAGATGAAATAAAGGGCACGATGGAGAGCTTCTGAGGTTGAACGGAAATTTGTTTCTTTTCTTATGCATGCATTATACGAGCAATGTACGATTATTATTATCTTTAGGCGCATCGCTACGGTGGTCCTGTATCGTGCAGCAACATGTAACCCAGTAGATACACCAGAATCAACAAATGCACAACGCGATTAAAGTTCAACATAGTATTATTATAAGATGCATTTAGTTCAAAGTAGTTGCGGGTCATGTATTCCGTGAATGCCAGAGAACGGGAGAGGGGACCGGAACAAGAGGATGAAAGACAAAACTCCATAGAGCAAACCCCCCTCGGAAATACATCAAATAAAGGCGCCTGAATGAGAGCTAACTAACTTGGTACATGGAGTCTAGAGAGACAGACAGAAAAAACTTCCACAGAATCTCTCTGGGTTAATAACATAAACTTGAACGCCGCCGATATTGCAGTGCAGTACAACAAAGGGAAAGGGTACAAAAGGTTATGATAAAGAAGTGGATATATGAAATAAAAAAATAAGAAAGAGAGAGAAACAAATCGTCTCAATACTCCGGTTGCTTATCCAGTTAGATGCCCGAAACCGTTTAACAAAGAGAAACGCAGAATAAACCAAACCGGCCGCCCACCAAGAAACCCAGGAAGCCTGAAAATGTACCCCAAGAATAACACCAGAAAGAAACCAAACAGGAAAAAGGACCATGTAATATGTAGGAAGAGAAGGAAAAAACAGGAAAAGAGAAAAAAAAAGTAAGAGAAAACATGAAACTATCCAGGCACCAACATGTACAGACGATGAAAAGCCCATATTCGTAAAATCATAAGAACCCGTATGAAAATTCCCATAATCCATCTCAACCGCCATGAGCCCAGTATCTCTCCCTTCCCCAACATCTGTCCCTTGGTGACCGGCACCCTCTAATGGATGTACTTCATAATGTGCTTCGGGTCGAGCCAACCAACTTTCTCATATGCAGCCCAGAGTTTTGAAGCCTTGTTAACATCGATATGGCAGGCCTTCTGCGCATCTGTCTTACGGAATTCCTTGTGCTGTTTAGCTCTCTCAACCTTATCCTGGAAGATCCTCCGCTTGGATGTAAGGTAAGAAGCGCACGAGAGACGGAGAGTTGACGCGAGACCAACTTCGGATGGGTGAAGCAAGTGCAGGTGAGGGTCGTTTGTTAGATCGAGTGCTGTGCCTTTCCAGTCTGCCTTAAGGGGTTTCAGGTGATCCAAAGTCTCGATTGGAGGAGACATGTCAGGGATTGACTCAAAGTCAGTATCCTCCCTTGGTGCCACGGCTCTGGCACGGGTAGGAGCAGATCCGGAAGTCTGACTGGTAGGAGTAGGGAAGCGACCATCGGGCGAGGCGAAGCCATCAATTGCATTCGACGAAGGCCTTGGAGTCCTAGGTCTGCGGGAATGAATACGTGGCTTGATTACAGAAGACTGAGAACCATGAGGCGAGCGGGAGGCAGGTGCGAGGCGTTGCTTGGAACCCAGCGCACTTGTTTTCTGAACCCTGTCCGCGGCGGCAGCCTTCCTGGCCCCGTCAATGCGTCTCAAGTACTCGTTCTCCTGTCGGAGCCACTCCTTTGGCCTACTCTGGCAAAGTCGCCACGCTGACGAGACGAAAATGTTGTATTCCTCCGCGGTAGGCTCGACCTTTGTCTTTCTCTGGACACCACGACGAAAAGCGTCCGCACTCGCAATAGCATTTTGAATCATAGGCTCGAACCTTTCAGAAACCTGGAAGAGCGGTATCTCTAGCGAGATGGAAGGGTTAGT